ATAGAAAAAAGTCAGAACAGGGAAATTTTTAAATACTCATATGAGAGTCCATTGGAATTTCTTGACAAGGGCTTCCAAAAGCATCCCTCTATTAGGTTCTTCCTCTTTTGCTGTCTTCCAAGGCTGGACTCTAGAGTGATGGATTTGGGATTTGCTTTCAGGTATTTTGATAGCTGTTGGAAATATCAATGAGAAATAATTGTCTAAATAACTTTTTATATAGACTTAAGCCTAATGTCTGGGAAATGTAAACCCTTGAACTCTTAAAGAAGTATACTAATGACTTTACTCTTTGGTTATACTTTCCTTTTGGGTGTTTAAGACCAAACAGTTGGCCCAAATAAATCAATTTATTTTTATACTTCAGGTTATTTGAGGATCTGTTCCTCAGGGGTCACATGGGCTTGGGAGGAGCTCCTGGCTCCTTTCTTTTACCAGTTCCATCTATGTGAAGATAAGTCAAAGGTCCTGTTAGACCATGTCTGGCTTCATTTAGAAACATGAATATGATGTTTCCTCTGAGTTGACCCTCCTCTTTGTAAACTGGAAACTGTTTCAAGTCTATCTCGTGCAGTCTTCATGTCCTCCTTGAACAAGAGGACAGGTGACTCACCATATTTATGGGACACTTTGAGAGATGTTCTATAGTCCGCTGGAACTTGGTTGACCTTGGAGGGCAAGGGGCAAAAGCTGTCCTTTAAGTCCCTCTGACCACATTAGTATAAGGCCTTAAAGTATGGCTGTTAAACATCCATTAAGGTTAGTTCCACCAGTCTGATACTTTAATTATCATGTGCTATGTAGATAAGGCTTGGGTGAAGAACCAAATATTCTCAGACAAACATTGACTAGATTTATATTTTGGTCCTTAAACTAGTTGACTAAATTATGACCATAGAAATTTTAAGATGATGTCTATATTATTTTTGTCTCATCCTTTATATATAACAAACTTAAACAGACCTTCATCACTTGCTCAGGCTTTCTTATTTTTTCTGTCTATTTTAGAAAATATCTCCATTCCCATATCCTTTTAACATTGTTTACATTCTCATTTTCTTTTTTTTAAATAATTATGAGAAATAATAGCATTAACAAATACTTTCCTTCAGTCATGAAACTTCTCTTCTTGGGGATGCTAAGCAATGCTTATTCCCTTTTAAGGTTCTAGTGTCAAGCCAAAGTTTCATTAAAGTTTTACTGGGGAACCAATGAATTTATTGAGCTCTTTGTATAACTTATGGTGCAGATCCTGTTTTTTTAAATCTACATTCCCTTGGTACTGTGAATTAATCAACTTTCCATCCTTTTTGGAGTTTTATTTATTTATTTATTTATTTTTTGAATCGAAGTCTCACTCTGTTGCCAAGATTCCAGGGTGCTCCCAAGAGCAGTGTTCTGGTACATACAGCACAATTGTGCTTCGACAGTTTTTGCATCAGGTTGGTAATTGTGGTTGAGATAAAAGAAAAGATGCTGAAAGACACAATTGGTATGGGTATGAAAAGCAATCTTTTTGGAAGCAGAATTAAAAGCCACATTTGATTCTCTTTTTCTTGCTTTTGACCTTCTGGTGGTAGAGCTAACACAGAACTCAGTGGACACACGAAGTGGAGTTCATTCATTCTGCATAGGACGCAAATGACCACACAGGTACATCATGGAGGTTTCAGATTCCTGAAGACAGATGTGCTGAGTGAATCTAGCCTTTTTCCCAGGCTTGAAGAACACAGACTCTTCTTTTATAACTCAATGTTGTAAAGTCTAGAGGCAGATGATAGCTCCCAATGGCCCATCTGTGGATCTGATTTAATCATCAGAAGGCTCTGGATGGTTCCTACATCTTAAAAAGCCACACATTAAAAATATCTATTAGGTTGTCTTAGAGTATTCAAAAGCCTTTAGTTCCAGAACCTTTTAGATCCTTGTCTTTCAATGCTGTTTATAACATGCAAGTATTAAAACCATGTTTGAATTGTAGCCTGTAGGAGATGGGAAGGACGCTGTTCCTAACACACTTTAACAGTGTGAACCCTACCCAGGATACAGCTGAAGGGTTTCAACCCTCTCTCAATATCAGCCTCAAAACCTTGGAAAGTCATATCTGTATTCTGCCCTCCGGAAGTGGTAATTTGACTTTAGGGAAGGAATAACACAATAGAGTCACCCAGAAAGGGTGATGAATTCTTAAAATACAAAAATATGGAGAAACAAATAAATTCTTAACAAACAATTTGCCTAGAGGAGCACTAATTTTCTAAAAGATAAGTGACAAAACTACCAGGGGTTATTTATAGTAATCCTAAATGAGTACATGAAATACTTTTCCCTTGTCTGCACATTTATGGCTCTGAATGATAATGTCTTGAAGGCATCATTTTAATGCTATCTAGAGCAAGAGGATGGAAGGTTATTCCTAAACCCCAGATGGTCTGCTTTACCTGCCATTAGGCAGTGACCAATGAGCTCTTCCAGTCTGGTGACACATCATTGGACAGATTGCTGAATTTTGCTTTCTGTTGGTGACCTTTTACATTCTGACAAATTCTTCTCTATTTCAGGATGACTTAAACATATAGTTATGAAGCAGATCAGTGTCTTTAAATCAGCATTGAAAATAGTCTTTGCTGCCAGGAACACTAGTATGTTGCATTGCAATAGTGTATGTACAAATAGATAAGTTATATATACTATGCGTGAAAGCATTTACCTTCTAGAAATCTCTTCTGAGGAAGTAAAACAATAGAGAAGAGGGAAGGGGTCTTATGAGATGGCTCAGTGGATAAAGGCACTTGCTGCCAAGCCTGACAACCTGAGTTGGGTCCCTAGGACCCACATGGTGTAGAGAAACAACTCAATAAATTGCCCTCTGACCTCCACATGTGCACTGTGACACATATGTGCTCTGCCCCCCCCAAAAAAAATAGTAAAAGGTAATTTTTTTAAAAAGGACAGAGAGAAGGTAAGAAAATTGAACTTTCACCACAATGTCATAATTCTCTTATATCTCCTCATACCTAGAACACAAGTTCCACCTGGAGAAACATCACAGTCTGGGCTTCTCACCTGACGTATTCCAAGTGTTCGGCACATAGTAACTCCTCAATTTTTATTGGATAAATACATCTACAGAATGAGATCATTCATGCCAGCCTTTATATAAATGTGAAATTGTATTATTTTACCATCCAACGACTTCCTTTATTATTTGATTTTCTACTTGAGCATGTGTATTCCTTCCTGAGGCATCCATAAAAGTGTAGTATGAACCGAGTGGCTCAGAACTACACACATGTCTTTTCCTGCAATTTTGGAGGCTAGAAGACCAAAATAGTTGTTGACAGGACCATGGTCCCTCTGAAACCTGCAGGGAAGGTTTTTCTGTGAAATCCTGGCTTCCCAGCTTCTGGTGGTCCTGGGCATTCCTTGGCTTGTGACAGTGTAATTCCAGTGTCGCTGTTCAGCTTTCCGAGGCATTCTCCTCTGGGTCTCTCCATGTTATCCCCCTTTTCTCCATGGCTCTGTCTGTCTTTCACTAATTTTTTTCACCTGTCCTATTGAATTAGTGTGCACTCCAGTGACCTCACTGTAGCCTGTCTGTGTCTATGAGGACCTTTTTCCTAATGAGAATGCATTCCAAAGGACTGAAGTTAGAACTTTAACGCATCTAAGAGGATGAAAGTTTTACAATTTAAAAAGTTTTTTTTATTATTTTTATTTTATGTGTTTGAGTACATTGCCTGCATATATGTAAGTACACCCATGTTGTTCAGTGCTCCTGGAGGTCAGAAGAGGCCTTCAGATCCCCTGGAACTATAGTTACAGTCAGTTGTTAGCTGACTGTGGGTGATAGAAACTGAACCTGGGTCCTCTGCAAGAGCAGCCAGTGCTCTTAATTCCTGAGCCATCTCTTCAGTCCCAGGATAAAGTTTAAACCCATAGCCATGAGTGCATTTTTATTTAGCAGGGTCCTTCCTTTCCTAGTTGCAAAGTACCTTATCAAATGGCATCACATTTGGAGTTTTTAGGTTTAAGTTTAACATAGACACTAATTATCCAAAGAAGTCACTCAGACTCCAAGTCTAGGTTTTTCCCCTCAGAAATAAAGGGACTCGGCCTGATAACCTTCTCATGTCATCCAGCTTTGGAAGGTCCCGCTGATAGCACATGGTTCTTTTCTGCTCAATAATAGTGTATAGCCCAGCTTTCCTCAATGCTCAATGTATTCTGCTGTTCTGATAACCAATAATAATGACTAATCATCACCACAGAAAAGTATGCAAGGTAGTGGATACATTAATTAGCTTCATTTGGCAACTCCACAGTGGGTCAGAACATCATTGTTGTGGATCAAAATATGCAAGTCATGCTCATTCAAAAATGTTATGAAGAAGCCAGGTACAGTGTGACAGTTGTACATATTCACAGGGCATGGAAGGATTATTTAATACATGCATATAGTATGTGGTTATCAGATCACAGTAATTAACATGACCATCTCTTGAACATGCTATTTCTTTTTTCTTGTTCTTTATAAAATATGAAATAAGAATTTATGTCCTATAGTCATCCACCTGCACTATAGAATGTTAGATCTTAATCCTCCTATGTAATTGTATGTTAGTAAATACTTTTTCTTCCTTTAATGTCAGACATCCTCTTAGACATAAGATCGAAAGCATGAAGGGGTTATAAAATGTGACTTTTCTGATCTTAGTATAAAATAACTTGGGTTAAATGCATAAGAAAAGAAATTAAAAGATTTTTTGCCAATTCTGAACAGTATTTTTCAAGTCTATAAGGTCCCAAATGTGCTGATCACCATAGATGGACTCATGATTCAGAGGCCTTATCTTGGCCTTGACTGAAAACTGCACCCATCAGGTTCACTGGATGAGAACCGTTGCCCTCTGGTTCACTTAATGAGAGCCACCACCCTCAGGTTCACCAAATGAGAACCACCACCCTCAGGCTCACCGAATTGCTTCTTTCTCTTTCAGCTTCCTCCATTCTCAAAAGGGAGAAGCGGCTGAGGACGAAGAATGTGCATTTCAGCTGTGTCACCGTGTACTACTTCACCAGGAGGCAGGGTTTCACCAGTGTGCCCAGCCAGGGGGGCAGCACTCTGGGGATGGCCAGCCGCCACAACAGCGTGCGCCAATACACCCTGGGAGAGTTCGCCAGGGAGCAGGAGAGGCTGCACCGGGAGATGCTGAGAGAGCACCTCAGGGAGGAGAAGCTGAACTCTCTAAAACTAAAGGTGAACCCTCAACTTGGTTTTTGCAAAACCCCATCTGCTTGTATGTAGCACCTTGAGCCAACTATATTCATTCACAAATCAAACTGTTTTACAGAACAGACTGCCTAGAGATTTTTTACTTCTTTTGACTGACTTTGGTTTGTTTGTTGTTTGTTGTTTGTTTGTTGAAAGCAAAGCAGCATACTGTTCTCGTGGGAAACTTACCTGACATCATTCATTCACAAATATTTATTATTGAATATTGGTTGATACTTTATATACACTTTTATGAATGTGCTTGGACTGGGGCTAGCAGAAGTCCAAAAACAGTTATAGTCCCCTCTCCTTAGGATTTTACATATTAATAAGAAAGGAAATTATTAATCAAGTGGTCAAAGATAATTAAATCAGACTTTCACTCCGGGTTATGAAGGAAAGTTGTAAGGTGTTACAAAAATATATGACAGGAAATGGATGTGGATAAGGAAGTTAAAGAATGCTCCTTAAAGAAGAGAGATGAAAATCTGAGGCAGTAACTTGGCACAGAGGACTGGCAAGAGTGCACAGGCTTTTGGCTGGACCTGAGCCATGGAAAGTAACGTGAAGACAAACCACATTAAAGTGCGTCATGGTAAATTTTTGTTGTCAGGGCATCAAAGGTTATCATGAGTTTTAAACACAAGGTTGTCAGGAGAGAGGTGACTGTAGGGTAGGATTAGACTGAAGACAGAAAAGGGGAAGAAAGACAGATAGACATGAGAATTTAAGAAGAAGGATCAACAGTGCTCCTTGATGAGTTGGATTTGGAAGAATGAAAAGGGGGGAATCAGGAATCAGAAGTTTCTGGCTCACAGAGCTCAATGGGTGTAAGAGATAGCATTGCTTGCTGTGCCTGGAAATGACAAGGAACACAGGGAAAGGTGCAGGCTGAGAGTGAGGTCTTCTTTGCACATAGGAGTTGAAGGGCTTTTGAGTTATCAAGAGGTATCAGGACAGTATCTTGGTGGAGCTAATGTCCTAACACCTTTTGACAATAAGTGGAGGACAACAAAGTACAGAAAATGCCTTTTATTGTCTGGAGGCTGTCTGTCACACTATTAGCTTATAGGACACATTCTCCCATCATGACCTAATAGCAAGAAAGCATTTGGGGAGTTATCCTTATAAGTCACTCGCTGAGCACCTGAAGCACTATTGGTGACTTTGTCACCTTTACCTTTAGTTTATGAATTCAGTCAGCAGAGGTGTGGCACATGCTTTGAAATATCTTATTTTGTGCATTTTACAGTGTGTGTGTGTGTGTGTGTGTGTGTGTGTGTGTGTGTGTTCGAAATGCATGAAAAGGCAACTTAAATGAAGTTAGATACAACTCAGTCTAGAACCTATTTCCTATTTCCTTTGCTAGTATTTTTTGGCAAGTTTCAATGAAAGTTCCTTGGGTTTTTCTAACAGCAACCCCTGTTTCTAGGATCGATTTTCCTGTAGCTTAATTCAACAGTGGTTATTCATTTTGTTTCTGCATTCTATCCTTTGTCTTTGCAATCCACTTCAAACTAACTCCACCACCTCCCCAAAGATGACCTCATTCTCCAGGTTTAAATATTAGCAAATCAATGATAAGAGCTGCCAATCATGAAGTGGTTTTTATTTGCCAAACAGTTTATAAATGAGTTAATTTAATCCTCACAAAGACCCAATGAGACTGGCGAATAATCAAAACATGTATGCAGCTGAGGGAAAATAAAAGCACAAAGGTGTTCCATAAATGACTCATTGAATGAAAGCTGACTTCTTATTTTGTTCTTTATATCAAACTGATTTATTACCCCATACAGAAATTTAGGAACAATCTTTGTCCTTTTCTGGGGCTTGGGACTGTCTGCAGTAGTTTTAACAGCTGAGAGACTATAAAGCTATCAGAGAAACAGAAGCTTTATAATAGTGAACTTGGGTAATTGTACACATGGTGATTGATGGGGGGCCATAAGCCACAGCAGCCTTTCCCACACCAGGCAGTGATTGAGTCTCATAATTCTTATCCATCTACTTCCATGTTCTTTTCTAAAGAGCAGGAAAAGAAGAAAGACAGCATTCTTGTTGATTCATTTTTAAAACTATGCTTAGGGTGAGGTGCTGATAAGTAGTCCCTGAATGACTGGTTATCATCTCTATTTGCAAATGACCAGGAAGCTACAGGTTAGGGGCTTCTGCAGTGGTCTGAGCTTCACTGGGTTTATGGTACTCAGAAACACATGTTACATGAAGCTAAGATCACAGACTAGCAGGCCAGTCTTCTAAAGTATGCAAGAGGAAAAGCCTGTGTTAGGAAAACTGACTGGAGTTCCTCCAACATATTAATTTCTTTGATTTTAAAATATCAATGACTATACTTGCCTAAGGTTTAATTGTGCCAAATCTAAAATTAATAAGCACAAAAATTAGTTGTGCAAAAATTTGACTCTGATCACTCAAAATTTCCCAATTACCTTGACATTTGTTTCTAAGTATGATTCCTCTGTGGTAAAGGAAATGTGGCTAAATCGATTCCATGGCTTTGGAGTTGAGCAATAGAAGAAACTTGGTACAGTAGGGGGCACTCCAAAGAGGAAAAAGAGGATTGTTGATGATATCCTCTGCTGCTAGATGTGCTGGCACATGCCTGTGTTCCCAGAGTTCCAGGAGCAGAGGCAGACTAGGCTTATTCATAAGACCCCTCTGTGGTAAAGGAAATGTGGCTAAATCGATTCCATGGCTTTGGAGTTGAGCAATAGAAGAAACTTGGTACAGTAGGGGGCACTCCAAAGAGGAAAAAGAGGATTGTTGATGATATCCTCTGCTGCTAGATGTGCTGGCACATGCCTGTGTTCCCAGAGTTCCAGGAGCAGAGGCAGACTAGGCTTATTCATAAGACCCCAATGAGAGAGAGAGAGAGAGAGAGAGAGAGAGAGAGAGAGAGAGAGAGAGAGAGA